CTCAATACATAAATTTTACATTTTCTTGAGCAAGAGACCCGTTAATCGGGACACCGAAGACGTACTAAAATCTTCGGTGTCTGTAACGCATCTAGCACATTCAAGTGAAACTTCTGCAGGGTGGCCATAACGCACTTCAAGCGTTCTTCTACATTTTAAAACTTTTAAACGGTAAAAGTATATTTTAGGGTACCTCTTGGCGAAACTTGACGATTTTTGGCAGTACATGGATACTAAGTTTGTGCAATTCTTTGACTTTCAAGACAAAGAATTGCACAAACTCAGTATCCATGTATACATCGATCTAGTTTCACTTAAAAAAAATCAGAGAATTGCACAAACTATGCCTTACGCACTCCCTTCACTTTGTCCATGTACACATCGAATATGTTTTCACTTAAAAAGTGAAAGGAACACTCAGAATTCTAGAGGCAAACAAAAATACATAATTTTGATGAACTATATTTTAAACCAAATAATAAAATAACATAGAAAAGGAAAAACCTTTTATGCATTCAAGCACTACACAAAGCAAATACCCACTTACCTTATTTAGAAATCTGTTCGTCTTCAGTCTGTGGTACATGAAATTCCTTAACAGCAATAAAAAACTTCCTAAAATTATCTGAACTAAAATCCGTATATTGGCGTTACCATATAAATTCACAAAAAAAAGAGTAAAAAATATACTACATAGTTCCAGACTGTCCGGAAAATGGCTACTAAGTAAACCTTCATTTACACACCAATCAATTAATGCACTTTTCCCCTTTCATTCCAAATCGTATAGAAACTTCAAATAAATCTTACTACATTCAGCCATTGTACAGTCTAAACAATTAAATAAGCAATGTACTTCCTAAGCAACACACAGCACAAAAGCCCTTGCAAAACATCCCATGATTCAAAATTTCCCGGAATAATGGAAACGATTAAGTCATAATAGGGTTTCCATAACATTCACTACTCAGGTTACCATAAATGATACAACAACTTGGCGATAAATAAAACAACAACATCGCAATAATACAAGGGGTACCCTAAAGTCAACTCTAACCCTTTTAAACGTTTAAAACGCTTTCTAAATGTTTACTTTTTTTGAGTTTTTATTTTTGTTTGTTCTAATACCTTCTAGAAGGCTGCACTAATCAGGCATTCTATTTCTAATTGAATTTACCCCTTGTTTTTATGAATATTCACATCATTTTGCATAAGATGCAAGACAGTGGAAGATGGCTTCAACGTCTACTCAGCAGAAAAAGAGAAAAAATAAGGTTGTGAAATGGAAAGATAAGAAGGATATATATTTGATGAGTACTGTCCATAATAACTCGATAATTCATATTGATACATAGAAAAGAACTGTAAAAATACCAATAACTGTAAAAGATTACAACAGCAAAATGGGAGGAGTGGACTGCCTGGATTAGATATTATCAAATTATCTGCTAAGAGAAATAATGCAGAGATATTATTCTAAACTATTTCAACATTTATTAGATATGGCCATATTTAAAGCATATGTTTTATACAAGAAAAATAGTGGCAAATTAGATCACTTGCTTTTCAGGCTTGATCTTAAATAAAATCATTGATAAATATTACAAGCCAACAACAAATGCACAGAAAGAGTGTTGTTTGAGCAGCTGTGATGTATCACGTATTACCGAAAGCACTTTATAGACCACATTCCACCTACTGCAAATCAGAAAGAACAAAGAAGATGTTACATTTGTTGTAGAAAAACATTGTTAAGGGAAAAGGCGTGCAAAGAAACACGATACTATCATAAAGAATGTGATGTAGGACTATGCATTATCCCATGTTTTAGAGTTTAACATACTGTGAAAATTTTATAAAGAAATGGAGTCATCCATTCAAGTAAAATGCAAGTACAATTTGAATATATTTTTCAAAATAATAATCATGTTTTATATCCTTATAATTTTCCTTAATAATCATTCACATTTATTCACTGCGAACGGATGGAAAGTGATATCTATACAGCGAAAACAACACTACATGCGGTGAAAAACAGAGGGACGCCGGGGAGATATTTTTGCGGACAGAAGAAGTCCGCAAAAGGGTTAATCAAAACAAAACAAAAATATAAAAACAAGAATTATGCATGAGTTTCCTGAAAAACCTTAATTATCTCACTGTAAAATTGGTTAATATTCCATAATCAGAGTGAGCGCCAAATTTGGCAAGAGTTTTTTATTTGGCGCGATTTTGATTTGGTTGTGGTTTCCGGCTGCATGTTTATTTGTGGCAAACCTGGAGCCTTATTTCGGTAATTGTAAGAGTGCGAATTTAGTGTAGCCAGAAGATTTTTTTTTAATTTTGAAATAATGTGTCTGTTTTTAAAAGTTTTACTGTTTAACAATATTATTATTATATATATATATATATATATACAGGGTGATTATAATTAAAGTTTAAGTTTCAAAATGCTATAAAAAAAAGAACCACTCATGAAAATGACGTCAAATTTGAAAGGAATATTATTGAAGAAGGCGGAAAGCATATGGCAAAAGAAAAAATTTAGTTTCAAAAGTTAGCAACAGATGGTGCAGCAAACGAAAGAAGACGTTAATTAAAATGTTGGTTAAATTTCAGTGTTATAAAGCCTCCAGGTACCAGGCTGTTCCTCATTTCGCGTCTCAGACGTTCGCCATGGGTGTTTCACTGCAGGACCGCGCTCTGCTGGTAAAGCTGTATTACAAGAATGATGATTGTGCAAGAGTAGCTCTGCAAAAATTCAGGACACTGAAGGGTATAAAAGAAGGCGTTGGTCCAATGAGTGTCGTAGGTCTAAAGAAAATGATGCAAAAATTCGAAACGACAGGTTCGTTTGATGTGCAATCTGTAGAGGGAGAAAACGAGTGCATTCGACGGTAGTTGAAGAAGTGGCCACAGCATTACAGGAGGGGTCAACCGGTGGTATTCAACCGTGCAGTGCACGAGGAATTGCCCGAACATTGGACAGGCCTACGAGCACGGTGCTGAAAATTGTACGAAACATCCTGGAATGCTATCTGTACAAAATTGGCCATGTGCAGGAGTTGCTTCCGTCTGACCTGACAGCTAGGGAAACGTTTGCGTTAGAATTCCTGGCTCGCATGGAAGTGGATAATGAATGGTCGCGGAAAATTTTGTGGACAGATGAAGCCCATTTCCATCTGACAAGATACGTGAATACCCAGAATTGTCGAATATGGGCAACAGAAAATCCACTGGCAACGCACCCCGTACCACTTCATCTTGAAAAGGTCACGGTATGGTGTGGCTTTACGACATCATTCATCCTACAACCATATTTTTTCGAGCAGACGGGTGCTTCCGGTCCCGTTACCGCAACCGTCACTGGTCAGAGGTATGTGTCTCTTTTGCGCAACCACGTGATTCCAGCTCTGCAACAGTGTGGATGAAATCATTTTTATGCAAGATGGCGCTCCTCCGCACATTGCACATCCCGTGAAGCAGCTGCCGAGGTGCCATTTCGGAAATGCTCGAATTATCAGCCGTCATTTCCCTACAGCCTGGCTGTCCCGATCGCCTGATCTTACTCCGTGTGATTTCTGGCTGTGGGGATATCTGAAGGATGTTGCGTTCCGTGCTCCAATTGCAAATTTAGCGGAATTAAAGGCACGCATTTCGCAACACATTCTGAACATCACCCCGGAGACGCTGCAATCCATTGTCGAACATGCTGTTTGTCGCTTTCAACTTGTTGCACACAACAGTGGACACCATACTGAACATGTTTTGCGCCAGTTCCGAACTTCTTTGATGAATGGTTCTTATGCGGTACGTCGCCGCAAAACTCTTGAAACCAATTTGTCCCTTTCGATGTGATATGTACAGTCATGCAAATAAAATTATTCAACAAATCTAATTTGTCAATGCGTTTTAATGTGTAACTTCCACCTTAGCCATTGTTTTACGAATCGTTTCTCATCGTGATTCTGCCGCTTACGGGGCCATCTGTTGCTAACTTTTAAAACTAAATTTTTTCTTCTGCCATACACTTTCCACCTTCTTCAATAACATTCCTTTCAAATTTCACATCATTTTCAACAGTGGTTCTTTTTTTATAGCATTTTGAAACTTAAACTTTAATTATAATGACCCTGTATATATATATACTATATATGTTTAATATTAGATTCATATAAATATTTGCAGAAGGTTAAGCTGTTGTTGGTGAGAGAATGTTGGATTCCAGATGACGTGAAGTTATGATAAATAAGTTTGATAAGTTTTCATTTAATTTTATTTAGTTAACTATTCTTTTTTTTTTTCGTTTTGTTTCTTCTATGTGGCAATCGAAAGATGTGGAATATTTAAAGTTTTGAATGAAAGTTGTTTAGCGTGTTGAATTCCAGGACGTTGTTTTATCATTTAATCAATTTTATTTCTATTCTGTTTGCCCATAATAATTGCTGTTCACCACTGGAAATAAAAATTTGCTATTCTGTTTACGTTTAAAACTCACATCGCAGTGCTCTGGTCTGATAATTGTATATATTTATTTACTCAATAATTATTTACAAGAATAGTTCATTCTACTGTTTTATGATGAATTACATAGATAGGACTATGTTTTGCTTGCAAAGCTGTTGGACTTTGTTTTACTTATATAGTATTTTATCATCTCATTTTACTATTCTGGTTACATAAAATTACAGTTTCACTACTGCAAAACTTAAAAGTTACTATTATGTTTACGTTTAAAAATCACATCTTAGTGCTTTCATTGCCACAAAAAAAAAAAAAAAAAAAAAAAAAAAAAAATCGCCAAATTTTGAAGGCCAAAATAGTTTGGCACCAACTTACCCCGCTAATGAAATATTAGCCGTAAAATTTTTGTAAAACTATCGATGTTAACACAAACTACTTCAAAAATGACTGTAATAAACAAAATGAAATTTGGCATATATTGGATTACAAGAAGTCTAAAAAAAAATGCTTTTATAAATTAATTAAATATCAATTACCTGTATCATGTTGTTCCTGAGGAAAATCTAGTATTGCGTGAACAGATATTACATAAAAGAAAAAAACTCCATATATTTGTACCGAAGGAATCAAGTTAACCGCCATAATTTTCAGTAAGTCAGACAACCAAAAAAAAAAACAAAAGCAGGCTATTGCCATATTTGAAAACTTACTTGAAATAAGTACAATTAAAAAACAATCTGTATATAAAAAAGAGTAATTGTTAGGAAATTTATGAAAAGTTTATTTTATAAATTATATTAAAATGACTTAAAAATAATTGTTGACGCATTGATTCGCAATATTTCATATTGAAAGATTATGTACGCTTTTTGGCCTTGCAGTAACATAAACAAATCTTTCCACGGAAATTTAGTTTTAGATTTCTGGCAACAGTGTTACAGCAGCAATGTTTTGTTTACTATAGAAATGTGAAATGTTTCTGTTCCGACTTCATATTTTAATAGATTATCTTTTCTTTATGACTTTGATTTCTCTTAGTCTCTAGTTTTTTAAAGCATTTCACTAACTCTTATCTTTTACAAGAAATGGTGACATGTTGTGTTCCGTTATGTGGAAGTAGGAGTGATCGGAAAAAGAATATTGATGCCATCGGAAAGAAAATTACATTTCATGAATTTCCATCTAACAAAGAAAAAAGAAAAAAATGGACGAGAGCTATCCTTCGACGGGGTGAGTCTGTCGTAATATTTTCTAAAAGCAAAGTACTTGTTAAATGATTTGTCATTTTTGTATTGCATATCGGCGTTTATACTTTCTTTCAACGCGGAGTCTCATAAACTCCATAAATTTTCGAATTCTGTATAGAAATGATGTATTTGCATTACTAAGGGAAACCAATGTTGTAGGCTTCAGGGCAGTTTTCAGATAACCTGCCCTTGGCGATCCTTGTTGGAGATCACCGCCAACCTCGACAACCCGGCTCGATCTGTGTGTCGCTTGAGTGTCGGCTTACTGTACAAGCCGGAGAAACTCAAGGGACGTTTAGAGAATGTAGGGTCTTGATAATGTCTTGACGTCTGCAGGATGATCACGTGAGCGTATTTTTAAAATTATTTGTAATAGTGTGAGAGAAAAATAGGTATTTGAAGCATTCTTTGTAAAAGGATTTATATAAAAATTGGTATTTATGCACTTTTTTTTTTTTTCTGAAAGATGGGATATGACCAAAATTGTCAGACTCTTAAAGCTTAGTTTATTTTGTTAAATATTTACTATACTATGATATGTCATAGAAAAGTGACTAAAATACACAGTCCAGTCACATTAATGTGACCATCTGTCAAAAGCCAGAATAACCACCTTTCGCAGAGCGGACTGCTGCGAGACGTGCAGGAAGAGAGTCACATAGGTCCCTGAAGGTGTCTCTGGGATGTTGAGCCATGCCGACTCTAATGCCGTGGCCAGCTGCGCTAGATTACGCGGTTGAGGATCCATGGCGCGAACAACTCGATCGAGATGATCCCACAGATGCTCGATTGGGTTTAAGTCAGGTGAGTTTGCTGGCCAGGGAAGGACGGTAAACTCATCCTGGTGCTCTTCGAACCACGCACGTACACTGGCAGCTGTATGGCACCTCGCATTGTCCTGCTGGAAGATGCCATCATCCTGAGGAAAAACAATGCGCATGTAGGGGTGAACATGGTCCGCAAGGACAGATGCGTACTTGTATTGATCCATTGTGCCTTCCACAATGATCAGTGAACCTAGAGAATGCCAGGAAAACATTCCCCAGACCATAATGCTCCCACCTCTAGCTTGGACCGTTCCCGGCAATGGTTGCAGGGTGGTTCCTTTCAGAGGTTTCACGCCTTATACGCCAACGTCCATCTGTCCGATGGAGCATAAAAACGCGATTCATCATCCGAAAACGCAACCTGTCGCCACTCAGTGGACGTCCAGCTGCTGTACTGGCGTGCAAATTCTAGCCTTCGCCGTCGATGAACAGCAATCAGCATAGGTGACGAACCAGGCGTCTGCTTCGGAGGCCCAGACGCAGCAATGTTCGCTGAAATAGTACTTTGGGAGATACTTTTGGTAAGCCGCTTGGGTTCATTTTGGTGGTCAGTTCCTCAACGGTAGCCCGTCTATCTGCCCGAACGCATCTCCGCAACCGTCGTTAGCCTCTGTCATCTATGGCCCGTGGTGCACCACATTTGCCACGTCGCTGCTGATTTTGGACAGTCCCATTTTGCCATGCACAGTACACTTTTTACCACGGCGGCACGCGAACAGTTCACAAACTCAGCCGTTTCGGAAATGCTTCCACCCTTGGCCCGAAAAGCCAATGATCATGCCCTTTTGGAAGTCGGATAAATCGCTTCGTTTCTGCATTACGCCAACGATTGAAATGTTTTCCGAAGCCCTCACACACCCTTTATATACGCTCAACTGCACTGTGCTGCCACCTGCCTTCTGTGATTGGTTATTTAACTCTGACATGGAAAGTACGTGGTGGTCACATTAATGTGACTGGACTGTGTAAAATCTAATCGAATTTCAATAACCCAAACTAAACTGGTACATCCTAAAAAAATTTTTAATTTGATTTATAATTAATATTAGTTTCAAGCAATATGTTTCAACATCCACTTTAACTTACTTTTAACTTCCTTGTTCAGATAACCATTCTGTCAAAAATTTCAAGTAGTCAAAGTCTTAGTGTATATTCACAGTATGGTGATTAAGTAATTAGAATGTATTAAAAAATATAAACGCTGTAAAGTTTAAAACTGATCTCCAACTTCCTCTCGCAATGCAAATACAACAGATGATCAAAGCGAAGGCTCATAGATGTCTGTTGTCACATTCCTTTTATCTTTTTCATGTCGAAAAGAACTTTCCTGTAAACGGTTACTTTAGTTTTTATGCAGGATGACAGCATACATGGTTATTTTCAGGATAGAGCAGCTCTGTGAAATGGTTACTGACCAGAGGGATATGCATTATTATGCAATACATTTGAAATAACACTTTTGCTGACTAAATAACATAAGATTAAAAATCATCTGCCATTTGAAAGTCAGCTACTTGGCCAAACATTTAGAACTGCGGATTGTTGGTTTATAACAATTCTGAGTCCTCAGCTTATAAAGTAAACATAATGTTGTTTTATCGAAGCATTTACTAAACCATCCCAGGCTGAATAATGCAGAAAGCTGGTCATCCATCTTTAGCTTAGATTCCAAGTGAATGCAATGAGGGTAAGTGCAAAATCGCCCACTCATATGGTGCGTGTCAGGGAATGTGCAATACCAAGTTTGTGCAATTCTCTGATGTTTTTTAAGTGAAAATAAGTTGATGTGTACATGGATACAGAGTTTGTGCAATTCTTTGACTTGTTAATTTCAAGTTGGCGATTTTACGCAACGGGCGAAGCAGTGGGTGATTCTGCATTTTTCCCTGCAATCATAGCAAATGTAACTGAACATTCATTTGCACTGCAGCTTGGTAGTTTAAAATATAATGCATTATTAAAACTTAAATTCTTGTTTTTGTGACTGAGAATATAAGAATATTTTAAGTATTAAAAAATAAAAAAGGAAATGAGATAATAATAACCTTCCTAATATAAGTGGTTCTACCAACGGGTTAGAGTGCTGGATACTGTTAATTTGTCGGAGTCCAACCAAGGTGAACCAGCTGTCTGCATAGTTGGTTTTTATGGTTTTTCCATGTGTAACATGACTACAGGCCGTATCCCCTTAGAAAAATCCTCTAAGAAGCCATTAATCTTCTCAGACAGATAGTCCCTGTATTCTTTGCTGTATTTAAATAAGCAACCAACCTAATTTATGTGCGATTTCTAAGCACAGATTTATAAACTAGCAAAACCAGAAACTCATCAAAAACCAATGTAGTTATCAAAATAGGAGGAATATGAGAGATACTTTGCCATTGCTTAAACACTCACCTAAATTGTACTTTTTGGTGGAGTTGACAGAAAGAGTAGAAGTGCAGATGTTCAAACCTTGATTGATATAAAACTAGCAGTATGTGTACAGAAAAGGACAAATTAAAATTTTTTGAAATTGTTTTACTAGAAGAGTTTATTAAATTCTGATATAACAGCAAATGTAACATAAATAATGATAAATGAAATCATGATTTATTAGATTACTAAATGATTAGAATTCTGACCTTGACAAATGCATTCTAAATTAGAATTTTAAGCACATAATGAAAATACATTACATTAGAAAATCAGCTTGCTACTAAAAGAAAAGAAAAATCTTGTATATCTAGTAAATTTTGTTGCATATAAATTGAAGTTAAATAAAATAGTTAATGATAAAATAATGAAGGTAAAAATTGTTACAAAAAAGAGAAAATATCTTTAAACTTTTGATTAATGTTCTTTATATGTTCAAAAAATAGCTTTCATATATTGTTAATAATATTTATTATACATCATTAATAAAAATGAAAAATAAATAAATTCCATATGAATAATCCTCAGTAAAAGTTTATTTAAAAATGTAAGGTTAAAAATAACTATTGCAGTTTATTGAAATTGTTACAAAGTGCATATATCACATTAGGTATTATTATCATTTACAACAAATATATCGAATTTCAAAATGCACTAATATGTTAATTCACATATATCTATTTAGAGATTTTGAATTAAAAAAACTTAAATTTTTACAGTTAAGTCTAGAAATACATCTAAGTTAAGATGATGGTAAAATATTTATAAGTTAGTAACTCAAAACATTTATAAAAATGATTTTAAAAAAAATTTTTTATCAATCAGCAAAAAAAAAGTAGGCATTATATTTGGATTAAACCTAAATTTCGAATTAAGTTATTCAAATTGTGAACAGAGAAATCAAGTTTAATTTTTAAAATGATGTTATTAAATGTATGCCAAATACAATTAATATTGTGGGGGTAAAATTTAGAGTGTTAATTTTTAAAAAAAAAAGTACATCCACAATTTTTACAAAATTCGGCACTTTGGTATAATTTAAGGTATAGAACTGTAATAGAAAAAAAAAAAAAAAACTGCATGCCATTTCAGAAAAAGTCTGATTTTATGTCAAACTGTGTATATTAGAACTGTGCTATATATAAATTAATATATATCCTTAAGTTCCATGAGTAGAAGATATAGAACTATCCTTTTTGGGAGAGAGAGTGAAGGAATTAACTTCATATTCTTTGATATGGATTATGTGTATATATTAATGTTTTTAAGTCAAAACTGAAGGGAGTAGAAAAGTGTTACAAGTAACAAAAAAAAAACTTAATAAGAAACATTAATTTGGAATCCTGTGTTTTCACATTCATTTTGTCTTATTGATGTTCCAGTACTCAGAATTCTTATTTTTATGTATTTAATTTTTTCCTCTCCCCCCAGGAAACAAACCTAATGAGTTATGGACACCAGTTGGAAGTGCTGATAGATCAGTCATATGCAGTTTACATTTTCATCCTGCAGATTTTAAACAAGGATTGAAATTAAGACGTTTGCAACCATATGCAGTTCCAAGTATTTTCAATGAAAGAAATATACTGAAAAGTCAAAAAGCAAGCCATAATGGTAAATGCAAATCTTTCATAGTTTATAATGGGATTGCTGATGGAAAAGTGTCTTTCCCAACTGCTTCAAAAGAAAATGTCACCAATAATTTCTCTACATCAGCTACAGTGGTTTGTAAAAGAAAAAAAATAATGAAGAATAAACATGTGGGAACAAATACTACTCATACAAATACAAGATTAAAAGAGATGCAAAGGAAATACAGAATCCTTCTTGAAGAATATAAACTTCTAGAGAAATCTCTTGTTGATTTTCAGATCAAGATTAAAGATTTAGAAAATGAAAATATGAATTTACAAAGCAAATTGTCGCAGCCCATTATCATCAAACTCCAAAAGAACCGAGATTTTCCATTAGTCTGAAAAACCAGGTGGAATCAAAATGTGTGTGTGTGATATCATACAGTAAATCAGACAATATATGTCATATTTTAAAACAGTTATGTTTTGCCATTTTCATGAAAATCTGAGAACATGTAATGAATGTGCATCGGGTATCAGTTGATATGATAAACATACTCCAGTAAATTAATGGAATGACTGCAGACTTTCAATTGAATATGTAATTAATAGTCTGCCAAACTTACATGCCTAATAAAAATTGTATTAGATTGTGAAAATATAGAAATTGGTTTGATCTGGTTCTACATCAAATTGGCATCCATATGGGACTGTCTTAAGAATAGTAAGGATTTTCTTTTGCCGCAAAGACTGGCATAACTGTTATTAAATATGTCAGATAATCTCAAAGCTTGTACTGATATTTAGCTTTTTATATACTATAGCCATGAGTTGTATTTGTTAATTTTCTCATTAAATAAAGAGCAATCTGTGATTATTTAAGTAAATAAAGAATCATATGTGCATTCATTATTAGTGTAAGTTTGGCAAGGTTTCCATCAACTTTCATGGTCGACAGGAAAATATGTAAGTATTATAAATTTAGCTGTCCACAGCTTTTCAGATGTTAAATTATAGCTTTAAATGTACCTCATATTAGATATGTTTGCATACTGTGCAACAAACAAGCTTGTTCATACTGGTTTTAAATAGCGATAGATTATTAATATTAACATACACATATTAACCCTCTGAGGGTTAATATGTAAAATTCCATATTGAAGGATGGCTTTCTCACTTCTTACGCATGAAAATTTCTGCCAGATCCTAATAAATCTGGTTTCTGGTTGGATGTGTATCGGAAGAAGACTTCATGTACTAATAATTTTGGAATTATTATAGTCATGAATAGCTCAGCTTATTCATGACATTTTGGGGAACTTTGAAATTTCTGGGCAAAACCTGTAAACCTCGAACAGTTAATCTGAAATTTGAATTCTAGCAGTTTTGATTAAATATTAGTAATCCAATTATACATGCAAAGAATATAATGGCAGAATGAGCACAGGCATTAAGTTTAAGGAAACTTCTAGATGCAGGGATTTCGAAGAATAACGCATTTATTTTACTTAAAAGCATAAAAATTAATTTGATTATTTTTTGAAAAAAATATTTTGATGCCTTTTCACAAAAGAATTCTGTACATCTACAAAATATCTTCCTCTAATTTATCCCTTTTCTCTTCACTATATGTTTATTAGCATTTTTTCCTATATGTATAATATTAATATCCTATAAATCTTGATTTAGTAATTCTTAAAGTATGAGCATGTTTTGGTAACTACTTAATAATTACTGCAAACAAATCAAATTCAATCTAAAATTAGAATGGAAGAAATATAAACAAAATGGGGTGGGGGAATATGTCTTACAATTCATAAAATTCTCATTTGAACAATTCTTGGTTTCAAGGTGCATAGATTACTTGAAATTCACAATACACAGAAATAAATTGGATATTTCAAATGAAAGTGATGCAGATGGTATTATCAGTGCTAAGAGTAACTTAAATGTATATGTGGCTCATGAAAGCACAAACTAGAAATAATACATGATTTCAGGTTTGGATCTGTGCATGTCGGAAATATTTCACGACAGTAATGGTCTTCAATTTCAAAAAGAAAAACAAAAGGGAATTTGTTCTGACTTCATGAATTCTTTTTATGACACATCTATATATCTATCTATCTATCATATAAGTAAATCTACAGAAACTGAGGTAAAAAAAAAAAAAAAAAATTCTATATAACAGCAATGCATATTTCTAGCAATAGTATATGCTGATGTAATAAACAAAAGCAAAAGATGCTGAACTACAATCCCAGTGGTCTAAGTCTTGGGCCTTGAAAGTTTCTTAAGAAACCATGGAAAAATTTTGAGATATGTCTAGAGATCATAACTCTTTTTGTGAGCTCAAGATAAAATTTGCAAATTTCTACAAAAGCACATTGGTTTTATAATTCCAGAAAACCTTGAAGAATGGCTTCTGATACACAAAGTTTGACTTTTATGATGTGTTTAGTATCAGTTTCTGAATTAAATTTTTTTCTCTTCATGATGACTTCATATATTAAAGGAAGCAAAATAGCTTCTGTAAAATTTGCAATCACTCTTTTTCAGTGGAAATGGATATTTAAGATTATGGCAAATTGCACTGGAACTATCTGTGTAAGGGAAAGGCAAACGCCCTAGTGGAAGATTTTCTAAGGATTATGAAGATTATTTGGATATGGCAGTGCCTAAAGTAAAGGATGTCTTTGCGGAGAGCTTTTTAACAGAAATTAGTTCGTACTCGTATTACATAAGGTAAAAGCCATGGAAATTCTCTTGAAAATGACAGTTTATTGGGATTTGGAGCTGGGTCAAACTACCAGTTTTTAGTGATTTTATCTGCTCAGACACCATTTGAATAGAATATTATTCAGATACGAAATTTCAAGAATTTGCAAAATAGTCTCTCCAACTCAATAAACAACACTAAAAGCTTTTTAAATACAATTTGAGGACGTAAATCAAGGTATAAGCCAGGATTTATTACATTAAAATTACATTAGATTTTTAAATAGAAAAATTAAAATTAGCTGTATTGGATGGGAACTGTTGAATGTTTTACAAATAGTACCTTCAAGAAATAAATAAAGGTCTTGAATATACATTTTTTACAATGTCTATTGTCATGCTTATCGCTTCAGAGCATGCAACAGTTGTAAATAATACTTGAAAATGCTCCAGATACACAAAAGCAGTGGTCTTTATGTATATGTTACAAATACAGGACTTAATAGTTTTAGGATTGGATTGGATTATTCAATTATGGCAAAGCACACGAGAGCTATATGCCTAAAGGGAGTATGCCTTCATAAATAACTTTCAAAAGGAAACTGGCTCCTATACATGTTTACACATGGGGAAAACCATGAAAACGGCCGCGCAGCCAGCCTGTTCGCGGGATTCGGACTGAACTACCAGTGTTCAGCATCTTTATCGCTCTGCCGCTGATGAGCCTTATAGTTTTAGAGATATATGGATCGAACTTATGTGCCTGATTCCTACTGAAGGATAAAATGACTGGGTTGGGACTTAATCATTGGATGCTTGTATGCCAGATCACATGACTAGGATAATATGGAAGAATTTCCCACGTTGGTACATTCAATTAATTTGCCAGCCCACGTATGGTGGTGCTTCAGTAGTCTGAAATTTCTGGTTTTCCGATTAAGGTTAAAAGTTCTTTGATGGGTAGTTGAATTACCTGAAATAAATGTCTTTCTAAAATTTAATATTTATCTGTCAATGCATTTGAATTACAAAGTATATAAAAAGTACAAATTTCTTGCAGGTACCAAACTTAAGATAGAAAATAAATATTGTTTATATATTTTGATAAATATTCAATAAATGAAAATTTTTATTTATTTGTTGTTTGTTTTGTTAATAATGTTAAATTTTGTTGAAAAATGTCCTGGCTCATTAACTGCATTCGTATCGAGCATGCAATTTAGACCAATTGCATTAAAAAACTTGATTCATCTCATAAGAAGTTTCCAACATTAAGCTGGCAGAATGGATCTGTGACATCAGGATATCAAACTGACACCAGTATTTACTTACAGTACGAAACATTATCCAGTTTACAGTGCAACTGTTTAGCAGTCTACATGGGTTCATTATTGACATTTCCTGGCAGCACCCAAAGCACAAGATCCAATTAAATGGAGCCAGTAGAGGAACAAGAATAGAACATAGGCTTTGGTAACTAAACTTCTACTCATGGACACTATTAGCTTAAGTGTGGTCTTAATATAATGCCTTCAGCAATTCTTGACTAGTAGGGTTAATGTATACCAACTTTTTGACACTACATGGATATCTTTGTTTGGGAAGCTAACAACACCATGAAGTATATCCATGCTAGATGCAAAATACAACTACCATTTTGCCATTTCAAAGATGGAATGATTTATCTTTCCTTCGGCAATGTCTGTAGTCACATATAAGTTATCATATTCATCCTTCATTTTCATTTGTGATAAAACTCCCAGGAAATTCACGATTGATGTATTTAATGTACCTATATTCCCAACCATATATAAAATGAATGAATTTAATTTATATAATTCAATATTTTTCAAGCATTTTATAAAAGAAAAGCTTTTTAATTTTTTCTTCACAAACATTTTTTAGGAAAATGTTTTAAATGTTAACTATTTTTAAAATATAAATCATTATACAAAATTTTATAAAATAAATTTATTTTACATCAAAACTATCACAGTAAAAAATCATTTATGTATTGATAATTATGCCACTCTTAGAACAAATACAGTTTGTAAGCACATATAGTTTCAAAGGGCATATAGTGGAAACAGGCTGTAAAACGTCACAAATTTTCATGAAATCCAATATCTAAGGAAGGTTAGACATAATGGTTCATCACATGCAGAGTATTTGGGTCTCAAATGGCCTAAGATGAATCTAAAAAAAATAATAATAATAATAATAATAATAATTTTTTTTTAAAAAATCTTTGAGACAGAATTATAAAATCACTAAAGTTTATTATAGGTATTTTTCATTTTGATTATTTCAAAATTTGTCAAGTTTCCAAAAGCAGTATCAAAATGGTTTAGACCAGTCATTAAAGTATACGATTATTACCTGTATATGTAAATTAACTTCCTCACTGTAACTTAAATAAGGAAAATTTCCACCCTTTTTGAGGTGAGCACGTTTAGCATCAGGATAAAATTTATATAACTCTTCACGTGCTGAAATGCTTAATGCATTATCATCAAAAACCTAAAAAATAAATACAAATTATATGAATTTGTAAATAAGAAAAATTTTTCTAAACTATTTATTTTTCTGATTATAATACATTATGCATAGAAAAATTAACTCAGGGAAAATCTTGTATTATTAACCATCTCCCTCATTCGCTCGCGTCACCTTGAAATGAGAAAATGTCCAGATAGATGATTAGCTCGAGCATAAGAAATAAATACCTATAGTTAGCAAAGCATATATGAAAAATCACGGCTTATTGTTCATAAAATATGTTTGGCAAAGCCTCGAGGGCTATCTGCCTAAGAGGAGGGATGCCTTCGTGGAGGACTTTCTAAGGGAAACTGGCTCCTATACACGTTACACATGGGGAAAACCACGAAAACGCCCATGCAGCCAGCCCGTTCGGGGGATTCGCCCGACCGAACTACCGTGTTGCGCTTACCGCTCGGCCGCTGGTGGGCTAAAATATGTTTGAATATCCTCACTTCTATTTCAGTAATGCACACGGTGCTGTATATTATTTATGCTCCTCTTTTTCCACAAAAGACATGAACACTTCTTGGAGGTAATTATACCAGCCAATAGTTGTGTTTCAGGATAATCCCTTTCTTCACAGAATTTCACTGACATATGTTTCTTTATCCAATAATAAATAAAGCAAACAACTATTGTAAATGTAAACAACTATTGTAACTATCTTCAAACCAGTTTCTGACCAACATTCTAACACTTGCAAGCTGTTTTTCACATTGCATTTCCATAAAATTTGGATCCTTTTAAGAAGTGCAACTTCATAAAGTGCACACTTTTGCATTCTGTATGTTTAAGTTAAATGTCATACTTTTGAAGAAATATAATAGTGGAAAAGGCCAGAATTGGCAAACTGGAAAAGCACGATGTTCCACCACGACAATGCAAGGCCTCACACATCTTTAGCAACATATGCAAAATTATTGGAATTTGGTTGAGAAGTGATGTTACATCCACCATATAGCCCTGAACTTGCACCATCGGATTATCATTTATTTCAGTTTACAGAACTTATTAAATGGTAAAATTTCAGTAATAATGATGATCTCAAATTGTACTTGGTTGAGTTTTCTGCTGATAAAAACCAGAAGTTCTATGAATGCAGAAACATTAAGTTATCAGTTAATTAACATTAAGTTCATCAAACAGAATGGAAAATAATTGACTGACTAAAGTTTATGTAGAAAAAAATGAAATTTTATTTCACACTGAAAAACCCAAAATTACTTTCTTGCCAATTTAATATCTGTATATATAATGTTCTTTTAAATACTAAAAAATTGAAAAATCTAAAGTAAAACATAACGATAATAAAACTAAGCAGGCAAAAAAAATGGCATTCAGTGTTAGCAGAAAGCATTTATTTTTTTAAATGCAAGCAATGCCATGTGAATTCATTAAAGTAACAGCCTAAATGCTACTTTATCATTTATACCATTTTGCTTAGCACAGATTAGATATGACACCTAGTGTAGAGATCAGCACACAACAAAAGTGATTTATTGTAAAATATTCCAATGAAGACGAAAAACTATGATTTAATGAAAAACTTGGTTATCCAACCAATGATTATAGAGAAAGTTATCACCAGCAAACAAACCAAATCAAACTGTTAAGTGTTATGGCTTTAATGGGAAAGACCCCCAATACTCTTATCGCACTAGTATGCTGTGAACACCGAGCAGGTAAACGTTGAAGTAAAGCTAAAATTATCTTATATCCTCATAATTACATCACTTGCTACTTAATGTCCATGTATCATTAACACTGATCATGTATGCATACTCTACACTTTCATTTAGTAAATATCTATAGTTCATTTAGAATTCTACCTTTAATATCACAAAACGCAGAAGAAAAGTTATGCACAGTATCCTTTCAAAATGTAATTGAAAGCTATCAAACAGTCAGCCTGAGAAGAAATTGTTTAAAATAAATAAAAAGTTAGTAGCTTAAGTATTGGTGGAGTAATTTGTAGACACCAGAATAGAAATTAAAAAGGTGGCTTTCTCTTATAAAGTAGTTTTAATATCATTGCTTTTGCATATTGAACAGGAGAAAGATCTTACACCTACTGAAATATTGACGTAAGGTAGCTGTGAAATATGTTGCTAAAGATGTGAGAAATTACTGTGAAACAAGATTTAATAAAAAAAATTCATATATTACAAAATTGCCTTGATCTCACTTTTATGATTTTATTTTTATATTACAAGATAAACTATTCGCACTAAAATGTAACTACAGCACGTATTTTCAATAAACAATTGTCAATACATAAATTGGTGTCAAAAAACTATATTTTTGCATATGTGGTGCTGATTCCAAAACTGGCAACTATTCGCACTAAAATGTAACTACAGCACGTATTTTCAATAAACAATTGTCAATACATAAATTGGTGTCAAAAAACTATATTTTTGCATATGTGGTGCTGATTCCAAAACTGGCATTAATTTTGCCTCACCAGCTATAGTTTTAAACATACATTACAGCAATAGTATATGTTAATTGAACTGAATATATATTTGTAAAATGTGAAATATTATTAATATATATAATATTAAAATATCCATATATAGCTGAACCATCACACAATCTTGCCTGACAGCCAAAGCACTTTTCGTCCAGGAGTGTTGCTATTTACATAGTGCATGGATCACATGCAAGTCCTCTATTCCCCTAAAAAAGGACATTTTTTTAAACGAGAGACAGAACGTCCCCATGCTCATCCAGCCGTCAGTTGTCTTTCATACATTGCTTCATATTCACAGAAATAAATCTTAAAATTTGCATTCATCTATAGTCGGAAAACCAAGAGTGTTTCTAATTTATTAAACAGTACAGTTAAAATTTGGAAGATAATGATCTTAAGCTGCATCACGCAGCAGCAATCTGAAAACCAATTATTTGCAAAGCAGTCTGGAAGGAAAATTTAACCTCTTATGTTTCGCAAAATAGCATAGGTGCTAAATATATGATATCATTATGTAATCTGCAATAACACTCCAAAAATTTCAGGAAGATTACTAAAGATTTGCGGAAATTGAGTTATTAATGTACTTAAACTCTTATGTATTTAAAGATATTTTAAATTTATCCTTCCATAAAATTAAACAATAAATAACCTTTTTTATGATATATCCTAAAGGCATGGCAGTTATCCAGGAGGCTCCAGTAATAATCTTGTCATCATGTGAATGTCCTAACACTCTTGGTTTCTGTCTCCCATAATTTTTATTGTTCTGCTGAAAGCTCTGCCCTTGCTTTTCATTTAAATTCTACAGGATTTTTTTGGAAAGAGATTTAAGTGGTCATGAAAGTAAAGAAGCCTGATATTCACAGTACAGTCAAGCTTACTGAAACTAGAAAACTTGTTCTGCTTTATTTGAGGCTAGGTCTCTTTAACTTAAATTGCTGTGAAGTTTTATGACAAGTGAAGCAAACAAGGACCAAGCCAAATTCATTGAATTTTTGAATTGTTGACCTCTTTAAGAAGTCTTTTACGAGAACTTTAAATTCTGTTAGAATTCCATGATCAATATGGAAACTTTATTTGATATGTAGCATGTTTTTTAAGTAAGCAGGCCATTTGGTTATATACATTTATACGTCTCGCTTGGGCGGCGATGAATGCTTGCATTGTGTTCCGGTATTCCTTGGAAACAACTGTGCTCAGTTGCAACTGTGTAGGTAACCTGTAAGGTCTGTTCTGTGTCTTTAAAATGTTCAAGGTTCGGTCAATGATACGTATTTGTCAGCACTGACCGAACCTGTCTACTGCAGACATTCACTGGCAGATTTGTGAAGTTTAGGGAGTGACTGCCATGAATGAAGGCAAAGTGCGTAAGTGAGTCAGAGACTTCAAAGCATGCCGCAACAACATACCCGATGAGTCCCGCTCCGTTCTCCCATTTGTGATCACAGACAATATGATGGCTTCAATTGGAGTGAAAATTCTTGAAACCAGACACTTCACCATAAGTGCTCTTTCAAACGAACTTCCTGAAGTGTCTAATCTAGGATGTGAAAACGGGCATGACCTCTTGGTTATCGAAGCAGGCGGCAAGTTTCTATGAAAATTTCAAAATCTAGTTTTAAAGCATGATAAAGCTAAGTTGAAAAACAGAGAAACATATGTAGAATCTGAAAATAAATTTGGTTTTTCAATTTTTTTTTCCATTTGGTTTTTATTTTCAAACTGTCCTTACTTAAAAAACACCCCTTGTAAATAATTAAATGAATTAAACTTTAATTCAAAGATGTCATAAGTTGTTCCATTACTTGGTATGTAATGATTATAAGATGATTGATGTATGTCAACTAAAGACTACTTAATTATGCTTTATTCTTCAACTGTATCTTTTCTCAATCTCTTAAAGCCATATGACATGTAGATTATTTGCTTCTTCATTTACCTGACCAAGGAAAAAGTTCATTGTTTTTAGTTAGCTATACAAATAACTCGCTGATCTTAAAACTCTTTTTCGAGACTAAATTAACACATTTTTTTCATATTGTTGAAATGACTAATTAGAATAAGCACCATTTTTTGGCATTCTGTAAAATTAATTTTAAACATCATCTAGAGTTATAAATTTTAACATTTCAGATGGTATACTAGATTTCCAAAACAAAACCGCATGTGATCAAATGAATGCCATTTTTTAAATTAGTATGCAAAATGTATTCAAGAATAATTTTCAAAGCAATAGGAAATTACAATTCACAAAATTAAATTTAATAATTAAATAATATTTTATTTGAACAGCTCTCTTCTTTTGGTCCAATAACGCATCTATCAATGCTATTTTGGACAACTGTGACTTAATTACATTTAGCAGTCCTGATGTTTCAAATTATTTCTTAAACGAAATATTCTTTTAGGACCACTATACATACACAGATGAAATATGAAATTTATTTGGAAAACAATGTTTTCATACAGTTTTAATGACAAAAGCTGAACACTGGCAAAGTTTATTTATGAATTCATGAAATTCAACAAAGCAATTGTTACTTGCATACATTTTCATAATCAAACTGCAAATCACGTATATGTAACCGGAAATTATTCATTGTTCTTAATAGCATAAATTCTTTTAAATACTATTCTAACACACATTTCAAAGTATGTGTTTAGTTATTTAGTTTTAAATACAATTTTAACATGCATTTCAAAGTATTTGTTTAGTTATTTAGTTTTAAATAAAGCATGTGATGAGTTTCATTTACAAAACTATACAATTAATTTCAGTTGTTAACTGAATTTACAAGTTTTGATAGCTTTTTAAATATATTAGTTGCCTGTGCAATTATTTTAAATGAATGATTTTTTCCCAACAAATTCAAATTTGAATTATGCATAATCCTAGGATACTCGAAAAAGAATACATACATCTATTATTGTGATAGGTATATCTCGAAGTTTCTGTGGTTCAACATAGCAGTTCATGCATGTGAGAGTCAAACGGGATGCAAGTTCTGGCTGAGATAAACTTTCCAGCTATAAATAATAATAACAGATTACAAACAGTAATATAAAACATGTAGATTATAAATATATAACGAAAATTTTTATTTTAACACAGTTTTTACTGTAGTCGGTTCAAAAACATATTCTACAATATTTGTGAAAAGTTTTAAAATACAGCATATGATACATTTCACATTTTTAGCAAGATATAAAATAATGGGTAAAATGGCAAATTTTCTTTTATGTGACAAAAACTATATACAGTCAAAAGTCTTTAATCTGGACTCGTCGGGACTTCGGTGATTCTGGATTATCAGTTTTTCCGGATTATAGATCATCAGTTTAAATCTGGTAAGATGGCATGTAGAAAAATAAAATTAAAAATATGAAACCGTAATTTATGAAATAAAGAGCAATTATGATCTAAAGGGTAGCAAAATTTACAAAAAAAAAGCTTAATATTTATTTGTTTACTTGATTAAACATTTCTTTCAATGCATGCATGCGTAAAGCATACATTACGCATAGTCGAAATTAGAAAATTGCAACCAGAAAACTATTTGATGTGTATTCGTGATATTTATAATGACGAGGAATTTGATTTAAATTATATCAAAGACGGAGTACATTGAGATGAAATACTACATTTAGTAAGGAATTATAAGCCAAATAAAATAAAAATATCTGCCCTGAAGATAAGGATAGTGCTGACAGATCAACTTCCAGTTCATTGCGCACCATGACGTTCAGTTATTATTTTATCTACTAAGTCATCAATCTAGGCATGACAAACTGAAAAAAATTACGAATGATGTGGGTGAAATTAAAGATCTACTTAAAAAATAAAAGGAATGGAAGAGAGAATGTTAAATTGGAAAAGAAAAAAAAATTTAGAAAATAGAGGAAATGTAGTGATCTTGAAACCTACTGCTACTGATATTGATGTTTTTGATGAGTTATCTTCCTGTTTACAACCAGAGGATATGAATATGTTAGAACGACATGAAGAAACTTCATAAGGCGACTGAAGAAAAGAAAATTTTGAGGAATACAGTTTATGTTAAGAGCTGGAAATTTATCACATCTAGAGTTATTATGTAAGTCAAAAGTCGTTAATTCGGACACCCATAATCCGGACCTCAAAGCTACAAACTTTCTGCGCATGCGTCGCGTAAGACCTTTACGGCTGCGAATATGCGTGTGCGCATGCGCATAATACGTTTACACATGCGCGTTTAATGTATAACGGACGGTAAAAGCTAAGCTAAAATTATCTAATTCAGTTAATGTTGCAGATTGCATTGTTTCCTTAATGTTGTCTAATGGATTCCGGCTTATTATTTTTTTTTGAACTGTATAAAGTTTTAGAGCTTGAATGTTGATTTTCCATGAAATTTTAATTAGTATTTTAATTATTTCGATATGTCAAATAGAATTTCTTTTATGATAGTATATTATAAATAGTGTAATTGCTGCCAAATAAGATTAAAAAGGAAAGTATGTTTTGAAGTCCATTAAACAAAAAGTGGAATTGCTGCCAAATATGGATAAAGGCATAATCGTTTGTTTATCTAACCATTCCAAAATCTGCTTATCAATTTCACGCTGCTCTGCGGCGGGGGGGAGGCGCAATGATTTGGAAATTGATCTGTCAGCACTATCCTTATCTTCAGGGCAGATGTTTTTATTTTATTTAGCTTATTATTCCTTACTAAATTTAGTATTTCATCTCGATGTACTCCGTCTTTGATATTATTTAAATCAAATTCCTCGTCATTATAATTCGCTTCCGATAGTGAAGAAAGTGACACAGAGGTTATTGAAAACGAAAAAATTTCGATTGACGAATTAATCAGTATTCTCGACACAGCAATTATAGGACTTCAACAGCGGAACTTTGTAACTGAAGAAGAAATTATGTCTGTTTATAGAATTAAAGAGAAAGCATTAACACATAAAAACGAAGCAACTTAAACAACTTATGTTGAAAGAAATGCTTAATAAAGTAAACGAATAAATATTAAGCTTTTTTTTTTTTTTAATTAGATCATTATTGTTCTTTATTTCATAAATTACAGTTTCATATTTATAATTTTATAATTTCTGCATGCCATCTTATCAGATTTAAACTGATGATCTGTAATCCGGAATCTCTGAAGTCCCGACGTTTCCGGATTAACGACTTTTGACTGTATAATGTTCCTGATTTTATAAAAAATGAAGAAATAGTAGAAAACTTTAAATTGGATTGTACCTGCTCCAGTGATTATGTCTGCTTTCTATTTTATATGAATAAAGATAGAGAAAATTGTACTAGTCGCACAGTTTTGGACATTAATGCAAAATGCGAGGTGGAAATCTTGGAGAGTAACAGGTCAACAATTGGATGTAAATCTTACCCAGTCAGGCTTTTTCTTAAGCTCAAGCACTGTTTAATATGCCTAAAATTCGAATATACTAAAAAATACTGTAGAAATCGAGTCAGCTGTATAAGATGTACTGGAGAACTCAAAAAATATCACTGCAAGGAAGAAAAATTGTGTTGTATTAATTGTCGAGATTCAAATGAAACATTTTATATAGATTATGATACTAATCATCATATGTTCTTCAAAGGTTGTCCAGTCTATAAAAAAGAAGTTAAATAGATTGTGAAACATGTGGATGTCATTATATAATTATACTTATGTAGATAATTTATATAATTTAGTTTTATCGCTGCAGCTTGGCCCTTTTTTTAATATATTTTTATTGCATTTAATCTTTCAGATTTTAAATTTTGTAAATATTTAATAATACAATACAGTAACCATATCTTATTGAAAATAAATCTGCCTGTTTGAGAAAAGGACAGGACAGCGATAATGATGAATGGTGGTAGATTTGCTGCTGCCAATGAAGATGTTAGATTTATGGCAGATTTGATTCCAAATACAACTAATGCGGTTTCTGTTTCTATCGAGAATGGGAATTGTTTCTGTATATTTCTCTCTAGTGGAGGATTTGCATGAAAATTTAATTAAATTGGATAATGTTATTAAATGCTACAATTTTCTTGTATTAGCAGATTTCAACTATGGAGCCAGGAGTATTGTTAATAGGGTAATTTTAACTTTTGATTTCATTTTATAGAATAATTTGATTTTCTATAATGACTTCAATTTATTGCCTACTTTTGTATTTCCAGCTGGAGAGGGTTGGCCAGCTTTAATTTTAGGGTCCTCAATGTCTGTGGAATTAGTTATTGAACAAGGAATCATTAGGCAATCAATAATACATCCCTCTTAATTTGAATGAAATATGACAAAGAAATTGGATTTTCACATGATATACAAAGAGCCGAAAAATGTGGTAAAGGTTCAAGGAATAAAAAGAAGAATTTAAAGAAGGAACTGACAAATACTGCAGAGAAAGATGAGCTTGATGATATTGCTGTTAATTTGGAAAATATATTAACTGATAGAGCCAATAGGGTTTTGAAACTTAAGAGGAAAGATAAGAATGTTATTCTGAGGTGGACACTGGAACTAGAGATTCAACGATGGATTTTCACATTTAGAAAACAGTATCAGATTAAAAATATCAGATGAAAATGTTCATATAGAAAGGAAGATCCTATATAAAAAAGAACTACCTGCATATAAGAAAATGATAAAGATAGTAAAACGCCAGAGGAAAACAGAATTCTTTGATGAGAATCCAGAATATTATGGAAGATTTCTTTGTGTGGCTAGTGGTAAAACACATCTCGGAAATTATTACGAGAGAAAAAGGTAATACTGATGTGAATAATTTTGAGGTTATAAAGAGTTATTTTAATAAAAACTTTGATTGTGTCTTTGTTGAAGATAGTTTTTTGGGTGTGGTTTTGTTGCAGGATGATGGATGCGCTTCAGATGATCATATGTTTAGTTTGGCGGAAATTAGCAATTTGGTTAAGAAATTGCATAATCATAGTGCCCCAGGACTGGATGGGATCACGGCCACTACGACAAAAATTTTATTTTGAAAATAATCTGAATTCTTTGTGTTATTTATATAATAAATGCCTTGATTTATGCTATTTTCCTTAAGAGTGGAAAGTTTCCAGAGTTTTGTTTATTCCAAAGTTAAGTGGAGCAACAACCAGACCTATATGTTTGTTAACATTTTGTAGGTTAAGTTGTTTATAAATAGACTGTACTACTTTTTATTGAAGAATGAATTTGTATCTACCAAAAAAAAAAAAAAAAAAAAAGGTTTGCACCAGGCTGCTCCGCGGAAAATACTCTTTATGATCTTTGGTCTTATCACTATTATTAGCTCATAAAAATCTGAATTCCATGTGGCTGTAATCTCCTTCGATGTCTCGGGAGCCTTTGACTCTATCAGATGGACATCTTTGTTCTCCATCCTTAGAGAATTTGGGATATCAAAAAATATTTATAGAATTCTTAGTTATTTTAATGAAAGGAAAGGTATTTGCAGATTTAATAAGACTATTTGTAATGAAAGAATGATTTACATAGGATGCCCACAGGGTTCCTGCAGTTCTCCATTACTCTGGAACACCATAATGTATGGATTGTTAAAGAAAGCATGTCCAAATGTTATAATATGCTTATGGCATTTTATATACCATTGAAGAATACGTGTTGGAGAAATTAGAGATACTGTTTTCATTTGCTGTAAAAGATCTAAGAAAGTGGTATGAAAATGAAAAGCTGAGATTAAATTTACAAAAGCCTTATTCCTTGTAAAAACTAGACCACTACAACTAAAATATGAAGGCGTTAGAATTAAGAGTGCTGAAAGCCTTAAATATCTTGCCGTTTTTTCAATTGCAAACTGAATTTTGAAGAACGTTTTAATAATATTTGTAAAAGAACTAACTCTATTCTGATATATTATAAAAGACATTTCTCAGCTGATTCACTGGCACTAAAAAGTAACATTATTAAATTAATTTACAAAACAATTATTACTCCCATTATATATTATATGGTGTTAAGGCTTGGGGTTCCAGGCTGCGAACCTGCAGCGAATCAGAAATAAATTAAGCTACAATACAGTGACCTTGGTTGCAGTTTCTGACTAAATGCTTTATTAAAACAGTCTCGATGAAAATAGTTTGCATATTGGCTGGTATGCCACCCCTCTTGATATTTTATTCTTTTTATTATGATATATTTAAATTATGTTTACAAAATATGGATTTTATTACTTATGGAGATTTTACTGCATATAATATGTGTTTTTCTGTATTTTATATTACCAGTATGCAACCTGCATTAAGAAAAGCAATGGAATATCAGAGACCAAATGGTTACATCGGAGAATTAGCTATATTTACTGATGGTTCTGGTTATGACAATAGAATTGTTGTAGCATATGTGGTTTACTTGTTTGGTACAGAAATAGACTATGAAAAAATTAGACCTGAACTTTACAATTCGGTTTAAAAAAAAAAAAAAAAAAAAAAAAAAAAAATGGCTGCTATCATATTTGCTCTTAAATGGATTGATAAAATCTGTAAAAACATATATTAATATATATACAGACTCATTATCTGGTTTGGAAACACTAGCAGATGCTGATAATACTAATATTTTGCCCTCTTATATAAAAAATCTTGTAAAAGTTGACAAAATACAAGAAGTGAAAATGAACTGGGTGAAAGCCCATACTGGTGTTAGAAGTAATGACAAGCGAAAGACATCCCTGTTCGTGGTTGAGTGCTTTCGACTATCCTTCTGGCTTCTGCATATGATATATTCCTCGCAATTTTAATAGCCTGAACTTTCCTCTCTGCTTTCCATTTGGGACATGAGCATGAGAAAGCTGCATGTTCACCCTTGCAATTTATGCACAGTGGGGCAGCAGTACACATGTCACTATCATGGCCAACCATAGTGCAATGTGCACACGAGTTTGCCACAGCACAAGATCTTAAACACTTGCATTGAAAACATCGCATCGGGTTTGGAATTTATGGTCTGAGGTATCCAGCCTTAATATTCTTAGGCAGATCAGGCGATTTGAAGGTCAGGATCATATGTTTCGTGTCAACCAAATGTCCTTCCTTACGCATCTTGATCTACCTGGTAGCACTGATGTTTTAATCGGCTAGCTCGGAAACAAACTCTTCTTCAGAAACAGACAGAAGATCGACTTCTGAGAATACGCCTCTGCAAAAATTAAGTGTTTTATGTGCTGATACAGTTACATCAACTTGTCCTAACTTGGTTAATTGTAAGTGTGAGGCAGACTGTATAACCGAAATTGTCTTGATAAGCAAATCTCCAGACCGGAGACTTAATCTAAAATATCTAAGACCGGAGACTTAATCTATCTATGTTTCTTGGCTCACCAATGGAGGAACTTGAATTACAAATGGCAATATCTTTTGGATTTCGCCAGAAGGACTTGAGACTACAACGAAACAGGGACAATCGTTAGGATTATTTGCATTTGCATCGATACGCACTTTTTTAGCAGTAGATTTTTTAGAATTTAACTTAGAGTGGTGGGATTGACTTCAAAGTCTTTAATTATATACATCTTAGAATTAGCCATATTTGAAAGAGAAAAGATTTAGGTCCAATGGCCTCACCCACCACAAAGCCTGAGAAGGGCACAGAGAATCCTGTGTTAGGGCTAGCCAGACCTATATATAAACTGAAGCCCCACATTCGGTTTTCCCAAAAGCAGGTACTCCCAAGAGCTTCTCCCCAAGCCACTGACACAAGGACTAGTGACTAACCGATTGACACCCATGAGGATGACTAAGGTGCCTCCCGTTTAGCTGAAGCAGAGGCCAAAGCAGTGTGTTGGGGACAGTACCTCGCCCCTCAACTACCAAGACCCTCCTTTCCAACGACACGGATCTTCACACACGGCAAACACATGGGCAGTTTTCTCGCCACTCGAAAACTAGAGACAAGCGCTGTTCCAGTTTCTTGTGACAAGTCCCAACCTCCAAAGAGGAAAACCACAAGGGAGAATGCAAAGAATAAAGTATCAGCTAAGAGGCAAGGAGATGGAAGAGAGGATAGATCACTGGGGCTCCAGAATCGTGACACCCATCTCACCAAGATGATCCCATGAAGGGCTAGGGTACCTCGGGATTGCCACACCCGTACTCACAAAAGTGAACCCCTGAGGGGTTACAGCTCTTTTTAAAAAAAAAAAGAAAATATTGTCAATTTTTCTCAATTAAAAACTTAAATTAACAGAGCTTTCAAATAAAATAATGTTTGTCTACAATTTAGAAAAGTATTGAATTGATTTCAGTAATTTTGTTTCTTGTTTCAATAAAGCTACTTTTGATATGCCACCACTATTTGTAGCTGTGAGCTCATACACCAAACCTGGCAATTTACTAATTGTAGCCAGCTAATATGCAAGTAATATTATAATTGAAAGTAAACTCTGATTGCAGAAATAAAATAAAGCTCCTTTCTGAAGAAGTCTTAAATGTTTTTCAGTCTATGTACAGGTAATTGAATATGTAATACTTTTGACACAAAATGCTGTTTAGCAGAGGTGCCTGATACCTGACAAACTCAATTTGAAGAAGAATATACATAATACTTAGAGAACATATTTTCCATTAAAAAAAATGTCCATTTTTGTCATAAACAATTGATCAAATAATTAGTTGTTCCAAAATCCTTAGATATTTTAGATTAAGTTTAAAATAAAAAGACAGGTGCAACTAAATTAAAAATACAAAGCTTTCATATCTTCCTCCTAGCAACTAGAATATATGCATATCACATGCATAAAAATGCAACCAAATTTAAAAGGCAAGCTTTAAGAGATCACATCCAGAGGCATTTTTAGATGTTTGGTTTTTCTTTTCTTTCTCAGCAAATATGTCATAATGCTTATAGGTCAACATCTGCCATGGAGCTAAGACCTTTCTCAGGCATTCTTCAAATAAAAAAAAATATACAATTTCAAACAAATTCTTTAAAGGCATATAGAAAAAGGCAAATTGTTTATACCTTTTCAACCATAAAATCTATGGAATCTGCAATGGGTGCTTCTAAGTAACCTTTAGAAAAATTTCCCATTACCATTCTTTTTAAAACAACTGACGGAAACATCCAGAACCTTAAAAAAAATAAATAAATAAATAAAATAAAATAAAATAAGTTTACATGCAGAACATCTGATACTGAAAAGATAAAATATTACACCTTATATGTACTGGATCATCTGGAAAGTTCTGCAATTTTTTTAGGAAAATTAAAAATGAAGCAATATAAAAAAATAAGAAAATTTCATTAAGCCTTTGATGTGCGCGATATTATTTTTATAATTTTTTAACTAAAAACTCTAGAAATTGAATATTATGATCCTAGAGACAAATAATATGTGAATTTAAAAAATCTACTCTTGCCCATTGTTCTGTGGTGGTGGTCGCACTGCGAAACCACCGCGCATCTGGGACTTTGAAATTTACTGAGGTTGTAGGGGGAAAAACTTACCTTTCTCCGTGCGCGTTTCCAATAAATTACGAAATTTACAAATTTTAAGAAAATGTATGTAATAACTGCATTATATATAACTTTTTTACATTATTTTACAAAGAAAATCGCCAGAAAAAATTAAATAAACATTTATGTAATTTTTCTATAGGAGTGAAAATATAAGTACCTACATAATAAGGATGTTTGGCTAAATGTATTTAAAAAAACTCAGTAAAATAAGGATAAAAAAAGACTCAGTGGTTTTTTTTTTTTTTTTTTTTTTTTTTTTTTTTTTTTTTAAACTGTTCAGCATATTTTGTCTTTTTGGTACATGCACAGACCCACATTGCACATTTCGCACATATATCTTCTATGAGGTTTCTTCCTTGTGCTACAAAATGTACACTGCCTGGATCTAAATTTCACTGGTATATGTGCAGCGTTATTTAGTTTCTTTTCATCTGGCACATGAAATTTGTGGTTTTTTAGTTAATAGAGGGGGGGGCCATGGTCTTTTTGGCTTTGGTATGAATCATTCGTTTTCCATTCATACTTATTTTATTCGTATTTCTTCCCCAAATATTCATAAAATATTTTAAATTTAAAAACAACTTTAAGCGATTTCTATTTTTAATTATAGCAAAGTATATTTACATTAAATTTCAACCACAGGAAATAATTTATAAAATCACAATACTAGCTTGAGGAGCAAGTGTGTTGAGGTCATAGAAAAGTCTCTGGAAAAGAAAGACTTGTCTTACTGGGCAGGTGCATGTATTGTTTAGTAATAAAACAACTCTGTGGTTTCAAACCCCCTTATCTATATCCGGGTAAAAATAAACATTCCTATTTGAGAAGCAAGCTAACGCCATTGTGAAGAGCAGTGGTTACAACGCACGACCACTGAGCCTCTAGAGCATTGTGAGCATTGTGACACAATGTTCATAGGGTTAAATAACATAATTACCACTTTGTTCTGCGACTTTTTGTCAGCTCCTCGGCAGCTGAATTTTTTTTTTTTTTTTTTAAATCATTAGGTTTACTCATCAAAAATATTAACAAGGTGCTGCTTGACAGTCTCCAAAGAAGTAAACTTTAGACCTATCAGAGAACTTTAAAACAACCTGACAAAAATTTTAAAAGCAACATAGCATTTAGAATTCCTGACTGCAGCATTAAAAGTTGACCTACTTTTTCTGTTGTTTTCAATCTTTTCTCAGTTCATTGTATCACAGTTTTCTTACTAACATGGCTTTACAAAACATTTTTTTTTTTTTTTTTAATTTTATTATTAACATTTTGTGTGTTTGCTTTATTTACTAAATATCACATTCTTGGCCCTTACACCTTATAAAATTTAATTCAATTGCAAAACCATAAAATATTTAAAAATAGCATATTTTTAGAGTTTCCGATAGACAATCTCATGCATTGGAGAAAATGTTTTAATCCGTATGGTGTTGTTACTGCTCGCTTTTAAATCATCACGTTAGTTAATAAAAAAATCTCAAACTTTTACAAATTATGAAATTGATAAAAAAAACAAATTCCAAATTCAGGATTCCAGATTCTCATATTCAGGTGGAAGACTACGTTATTACAAATTTGATGGCTATAAGTTACATTAATTAAAGAAATTATATAATGAAGAATCTATATGAATGTTTGCATGTTTCTCGCATCGTTTTACGATATGAGAAATATGCAAACATTCACGCAGACTCTTCATTATTTAATTTCTTTAAATATAATACAGGGCAATAATATTTGGTGACAACAATTTTAAAAGTGATACGCTGTTTACAGTAATTCAATGCAAAATGCCGTTTTGAAACTAATATCTCATTTGGGACTAACAACCCTTTTGGGCTATAAATAACAGTTTAATTCTGAGTACAAAATCTCAGCATTGTTAAAGAGGTTTTGATTGAAATGCCTTTTTAAGAAATTGAAGGTTTTGAACAAAATATTTAAACTGGATAGAGAAAAATCTTACTGATGAAAAATAAAAGGAAACTGTTAAGAAGACAAAAGAGTGCTGTGAACTGCTACATATAATGACAGGTAAGTATGATTCTAAAGATGACCTTAAACAAAATGGCTTTGTTTTGGATTCAACAAATTAATGATTCATCTTTACAAACATCCTGGCACAATGCTAAGAATGGAAGAAATAATTTAATTGTTATTGACAGTTTCTTGTACCATACAGATAAGAGGAAGGAGGAGAAAGGGTTCACCAGTTAATTGTTCAGATTGAGAGATAAAAACAACTTTTGGAGTTTGCTCATTCTAACTTATGTCCCCAAGTAAGTAAACAAAATGGCTTTGTTTTGGATTCAACAAATTAATGATTCATCTTTACAAACATCCTGGCACAATGCTAAGAATGGAAGAAATAATTTAATTGTTATTGACAGTTTCTTGTACCATACAGACAAGAGGAAGGAGGAGAAAGGGTTCACCAGTTAATTATTCAGATTGAGAGATAAAAACAACTTTTGGAGTTTGCTCATTCTAACTTATTAAGTAAGTTATTATTAAGTAACTTATTAAGTAAGTTAGAATGATCAAAATCCAAAAGTTGTTTTTATCACCTTCAAACTAAGAAAACTGACAAACGATTGAAATATGTCTTTTATTGGCTGGGAATCAAGAAAGATGTTAATGAATATTAAAATACTTGTACTTCATGTCACTTCTAAGATAATAAGCATTCTTTTGATGAAGCTCCTATTATGCCAGTCACACATCCTAGCTAACCATCAGATAATCAGTATAGCTATCATTGGACACATGAAACCAAGCTGAAGTTGGAGAATGGGGATGCCGAGATAAGAGAATTATCACAGACTGGAGGCAGCTCAATCACAAGTGCAGGAGGCTACAGAGCTCTATGTAATGCCCAGTGTCCTATGCAATTTGTGGTAACACTTTCAGGACACTGCATTCATATTGAGAAGACCTGGGCAAGATCGACTACGATCCACATTGACAAATGAGGATTATTTGGCACTTTCGGTGTGGTAATACAGGACAGCTACAGCTTCACAGCTCTCACATAAGCTATATGCTGCTATTGGACCCCAAGTTTTATTATCTACAGTTACATGATGGTTTGGAGTAGGATTCCATGCGAGAAGACCTGCCGTTTGCTTCTCACTCCCTGCAGAACACAAGAAAAAGAAAGCACATTTACATGGAGCAAACAACATGTACGTTGGACCAGGCTTTATTGGAGAACTGTACTTTTTACAAATTAATCAAGATTCAACCTGGACACTGATTTTCAGCGTACCTCTATCTGGAGAGAACCTGGAACATGATATCATCCCTTCCTCATCAAGGAAAAAGGATCATTACAGTAGTGGTTTGGCAAATGGTTTGGGCAGGCATAATGTTGGATGGCCACTCCCTTTGACAAAGGATGCCTGACTGCTATGAGATATAGAGAGGAGATAAAAACCTATGATTGACTCTTCAAGGACATAATTAGTCCTGGGCTCCTGTTAATGGATGACAATGCTCGTACACATAGGACTCAGCTAGTCAAATACCTGGAAAGTGAGGATATTAGGTGCACGAGTTTGCTAGTCAGATCTCTCCTAACAACTTTATACAGCATATCTGGGATGCTCTTGGGGAGGAAATTTCAACTTGCCATTTTCCTCCAAGAACCATCCCAGATTTGAATCTACCTTGCTGCAAGAGTGGGACTGACGTGCCACAGAGACTCTTACTCTGTCTCCCCCTGTCCAGTGTGCCATTATGCACTGTGACCTGACTGGCTGCAAGGGGGGTACCATGCCCCATATTAAAATCATTTCCAGTTCAATATCAAAAGTGGATTTTGGACATATCTGTACTCTGAGCTTTACTGATGTGTACATAAAATAACTTTTGAATGTTACTTCTCTTTCTCTGTTATAAATGTTGCTGTCCATTTTTTTTTTTTTTTTCCAGAAATTCAATACAATGTGCGAATTCTTGTAATTTTGCACATGCTAGGCGCAACTGAAAAATGTATGTTACTAGTGCAATTTGCATGAATTACAGAAAATTTAGACACTATAATGCATAGAAATATTGCAAAATACAAGTATTTAAATTTACACCATCATAATTTTAGTCTCTTTTTCTGAGACAGCATAATTTATGAATTTAATTACAATTCACATGAAGAACATGCTGCATTTTTTGCTTTGATATAACCATGGAGGCAGAAATATATGCATTAGCCATTGTTCCCAAAATCTGAGGTAAAAAATGGGTCATCTTCAACCCCACTCTTTTTCTTCTTATCCACCCATGTCAGTTTGCTACAATAGCATGCTATGCACGTTGATGATAATCTTTCTATTATTTTCTATATTTTTAAAGCAATAAAATGTTTTGTTGCTTTTGTATTTGAAGTTCAGAAAGAGCTGATGCATAAAAAAGTGCATATTTAAATTTCCATGAGGTTTGTGGTTTTTATATACAAAGTTACTTACATTTTTCTTTTCATTTGCAATGTTTCTCTTTTCATTCGAATTAGAACTCCTTAGGCATCATCATCTTTGTAGTGAAAATACTGCTTATAGTTTATGTTACAGAAATAAAATAATGCTGAATATAATAAATGTGATGTTATTTAAACGT